GGAGAATCATGGCGACTCACTCACTCAGCTTCTTTTTCCCAGCATTCTCCTCTGTCTACTCCGCCTACCTAATTTTCTGTCCTATGAGGGCCGAGGCAGTTTCTTTATTATTAACCAATGAAATCAACAGATAAGATACAAGACCCACCTCCATCAAACAGGCTCCCAAAAAGCCAGCACAAGCAGCAGGAACAAGTCCTGGTGTCCATTCCAGTGGACCCTCAGTCTGCCCCAGCCAGGCAACTGTCAACCTCATTCAGAGGGACTGGTTCCATCCCATGCTGGTTCCTTCCCTGTCAGGCTGGTGTTGGTGAGCTCCCATTAGCTCAGGTAGACTGTTTCAGGGGGTGTACCTGTCTTGGTCTTGACCACTTTGCTCATATTCTCTCATTCTTCAATTGGAAGAGTACCACACATTTAATGAGAATGGGATGAACGGAACAGGGAATGACATGGGCAGACAAACTCAGCCCTGCTGGAGTTCCCGTAAGGCCAGAGGGAAACAGGAAATAAGCAGCGAACGTCTTGAGCTGTGTAATGTACTAGAATGAGGCCAGGGTTGAGGGAAGCAGAAACACCAGAGCCAGAGCTCTGCAGCGGAGTGCTGGGCATGTTTGAGCAGTGTCCAGGGACCAGTGGGGCTGACACGGGCGGTGTGGAGGGGGGGGACAGTAGGGGTGGGCTCTGATTCTGAGGACCTGTGGGCTGTTTATTCCGACTCTCAGAAAAAGAGCGAACTGCAGTTGGGATTCAACAGGACTTGTTGAGTTTCCAAGTCACATGTCTCATGATGACATTTACTGTGCTAGACCCATAAGACTGGACTGCCTGGTGACAGTGCACTCTCTTAGTTTGTGTTCATATCGTTTTGTTATTTTTCTTGGAAGTGACAGAGTCTCCCCAAGGCGTCTACTCTCTGGACTATGTCTGGAAGTGTGACATGTGACTGTTTTTAAAGACACTGCTCTTCTGGCTCCTGCTCTGGTCATAGACTGTGAGCAGCAGGGATGGCACAGATGGAAGGATGGAGGGGCAAGGGTGTCGATCTCTAGTTGTTTTACAAACAGTAGCGCGTAGACCTGGTATATCTCCTGAAGGATAGGTCATGGGGTACAATGAAAAAGGTGGGTGTATGTATGGGGTATTTTTTTTTCTTTTCCTTTTTGACTTTTGTGTTTTAAGATAGGATCTCATGTAGCTGCCTTCAAAATCACTGTATGGCTGAGAACCTTGAGGTCCCTTCTCTGTTTTGAAAGCACTGCAGATTAAACCTAGGGCTTCTCTCAAGTTAGGCAAGAACACTGTCACCCCAGCCCATCCATGAACTTCTGACCCTCCCGCCTCTGCCTCCCTCGGGATGGGACGACAAAAGTGTGCACCACCACACTTGATTCGTGTGGTGCTGGGCATTGGCCCTAGGGCTTTGTGCGTGCATGGTAAGACCTGCCACAGTTGGGCTGCACCTCTTGCCCACCGTGTTCTTCTGACATCCGTATTTGTATGAGAGCACGCATGGGTGAGCGTGGGTGCCTGCGTGCCAATGCACATGTGTGGGGATCAGGGGACAGCTCTCAGGAGTCAGTTTTCTACTATCTTATGTGATCCCAGGATCAGCCCCAAGTTGCCAGGCCTGTATGCAAGTGTCGACAGACCTTCTTATAGCCCCCAGCACACATTCCTTTAGCCCATTTTTGTGCAGATGTGTATCAGGCACCTGCATCAGAAAAGCAAAACAAAAGGCAGTCATACCAGCTCGAGCATTCTAGGCTCCCCGCCAGGTGTGTCTCGAGCACACATGTAACAGCGTAAACGAATGCAGACAGATTGTAAAAATATATACAGCTTTAATGGAGAAATAGACTTACAGAACCACCGTTCCCACGGAGACCAGGAAAGCAGAAGCAGTGTCTGGGAGCACACTCGCCAAATTTATAGGCTAACATTAGCCCGAGGCAAACACGCCCCCTAAGGGGCAGGACTTATCCCTACATCTCCCCTTTTTGTCTAAATAAGAAAGAACTAAACCAAATACAACTACATACAATAATAACAAATAATAAATATAACAAACAATATTGAGAATCAAAAGTTTTGCTAAACATTCTATCTCAAGGAGTCTAAATAATGTAGAGAATAACTACAATTATATAATCTTCAACTCCATCAAAGATCTGAGAAGGGAATAAATATTACTTAACAAACGAGATATATCCAAAATGTGCAACAATTGACAGAGACAACTGACTACCTGGGCAATCACCCAAAGTCTCGTTTGCAATATTGAGTCAACCAACTTTGGCTAAGGCCTAACATAACTGACATACTATTATTAAAGGCAAGGAACTTTCTTAGAATTATCCTACCCTGTCTTGGCAGGATAAGACAATCCTGTTTCATTGTCAGAAGTTGAGGTATGGGCTTTTCTTACCCATACCAGTTCTGCCAAGAAGATAAGCTCCCAGTGGAGTGTCTTTGGTGCTCAACATTCTCTCGGGAATAGAGCGGTGTTGCCAGGAGCAATTGTGTCTCACTATCACAAAACTCTGAGTTAGATTAAAGGCCATTTTCTATAGCTCTTTGAAGAGGTTGAAGATTATCTATCTATACTGAGTATAATCTCTATATATCTAAAGAACCTGATTAGTCTAATTATAAATGACAAACTTAGATGACTATTAATCTATATAATTCTCAATATCTATCTGTGTAACAAATGAGGATAATGACTTCCAAATATAAACACTGTACAAATATACATTGCAACATGGTAAATATATATCAATACACAAACATTATATAAGTATCTTAATCAGACGTAGAAATGTACACTGCAATATGGTAAATATATACAATATATATATCAATACAATATATGTCAATACATAAAAATGTTTTAAACAGAGGTAGAAACATGCATGCATACAATAGTCAATGTAATTTAACTTTGTATCAATATACAAGAATCGATACCAATATATTTGTCTAAAAACAGTAACTCACAATTATAAATCTATTATCCCATCATCCCTCTTTTTTTTTTTTCAAAATGATCCTTAAGCTTATAAAATTCCTCCCCCAACCTCCCAACCCCTAAATGATGTCCCTAAACCCAGGGGCAAACTTTATTGGGAGAGGGAACGTCGTCCTCTAGAATTACTTCCAGCTGTCATGGGAGTGATGTTCTTTCTGGGGGATCCTGTGAAAGTAAAATGATGGTTAAATTTGGCGTCCAACGTTGGGCTATTTTGCCCCCGACTCAAGCACATAGCCTGGCTAGCTCAGTCGGTAGAGCATGAGACTCTTAATCTCAGGGTCATGGGTTTGGGCCCTACGTTGGGCGCCAAAATGTAACGGTGTAAATGAATGCAGACAGATTGTAAACATATACACAGCTTTAATGGAGAAATAGACTTACAGAACCACTGTTCCCGCGGAGACCAGGAAAGCAGAAGCAGTGTCTGGGAGCACGCTCGCCAAATTTATAGGCTAACATTAGCCCGAGGCGAACACGCCCCCTAAGGGGCGGGACTTATCCCTACACACACACACACACACACACACACACACACACACACACACACACACACGTGTGAGTGGAGGTGGACAGTACGATGCGATGCGCGCTGGAGAAGAGCCTGGCATGGGGACAGCCTGCTTCTGGAAATCCCAGATCTGACACTTACTACTTATGTGAACTGAGGCTAGCAACTGGGTTCTGATTTCCCCGTTAGCAAAGTGTTTATGAAGCCCACAGAAGAGAGTCAGGCACGTGGTGAACACTCCCTGCTGTCCCCTTTCTATGGTATATACACCTTTACCTTGCACTCTACCAGTAAGTTCCAGTAGCTCGCTACCTGGTTGTACCACGTAAATTCCTATGGCATGTTTGTCAGGTCTTATTTTAGAAATCTTTTTGTAGATTTTTATGTACAACATGCATATTTGAAATGTTTCCCTGTTTAGAAAAATCTTTGCATTCTTATGTGTAACTTTTTAAATATAGATATTTAACTTAGACAACATCCTTTCTTCTGCTTAGGTCTCCCTTTCTGGAATTCTCCCAGTTTGCAGGTTACCAGTTATATGGTGACGAGGAAGTCCCTGCAGGTGGCATCATTACGGGCATTGGACGAGTGTCAGGGTGAGTATTCTGCCTGTGCTCAGTTGTGAGGGGCAGGAATTGTAAGTGCAGGCGTCTGCCACCCACCCTGCATGTTGGCAGGCAAGCTTTGTGCTTGTAAGACTTGAGCATCTCAGATAGGTATCCAGTTCCTCTCTGGAGCTCTAGAGATCACAAACTGAAGGGAGAAAAATAAAAATTAGTCAGTTTCTGGATCCAGTTTAGACTTACCCACTTCCCCCAGGTATGGGCTTTTTAATTTTTTTATTAAAATTTTTTCCCACAATATAGTTTGATCATATTCTTGCTCTTTCCCCGAGTTCCTCCCAAGTCCTCCCCACTTCTCTACCCATACAACTTCATGTTTTTTTCTCTCTCTGAGAGAGAATAAAAAAAAGAGGAGAAAAAAAACAAACTTAAAAAAAACACACACACACAAACAAAAAAAAACAATTATTAAAGCCATGTGGTGGGGCACACCTTTAATACCAGCTCTTGGGAAGCAGAGGCAGGCGGATCTCTTGAGTTTGAGGCCAGCCTGGTCTACATGGTGAGTTCCAGGACAGCCTGGGTTATGTAGAGAAATCCCTTCTCAAAATTCAAAAAGAAAAGAGAAGGAAAAGAAAATCAGTAACACAAAAATCTACTTGGAAGAGGAGGCAGGAAGATGGTGTGAGCCAGAGGTGGTGGAGGAGTCCAAGGACACAGCTTCTTCCAGACACGTCGGAACTGATCCACATAGGAACTCACAGAGACTGGCAGCATACACAAGACCTACACGTGATTAAACCAAATAAAACCCCAGCACTGAGAATGCCCTACCCCTAACCAAATGCCCTACCCCTAACCAAATAAAACCCCAGCACTGAGAATGCCCTACCCCTAACCAAATGCCCTACCCCTAACCAAATGCCCTACCCCTAACCAAATGCCCTACCCCTAACCAAATGCCCTACCCCTAACCAAATAAAACCCCAGCACTGAGAATGCCCTACCCCCAACCAAATGCCCTACCCCTAACCAAATGCCCTACCCCTAACCAAATAAAACCCCAGCACTGAGAATGCCCTACCCCTAACCAAGAAACTATTTTAAATTGACACCTGCTAAAAAACTAAAACAAGTCTTCTCCATTGGTATGCTGAGTTTTAGGAACACTCCATCCAAACTCTTGCACAGCTGGCGAATACAGCTGTTTTAGGAGCAGGTGTCCGCTGTGTCCCCAGGCAGCCTCGCTATGACCTTCTTTTCTGCTCAGTGTGGGCTGGCTAGGGCTCAGAGCTCAGACAGCACTGCTCTTCCTGGCTCTGCCTGGCTCTGTTGGCTCTCACACCCGGAGGCTCAGGTGGATGCAGGTGACTGATGGCATATGGGCAATGAACTTTCAAGCTGCAGCCAGCAGAGGGCTTGGGGTTTGTGCTAGCCTGCTGGCTGCTCAGCCGCAGCAGGATCACTGAGGAGGAAGGCCCAGTTCCTGTGCTTTCTCTCTCCTTACTCTGTGGAGTGTGCTGTTTGAACCAAGTGGCTTAAAATCAGAAGCAGGCTCTTAAAATCAGAAGCATGGACCGCGCTCGTACCAAGGCTATGAAGAAGGGGATGCGTGTCATTCTCAAGAAGTACTACACGTGCCTGGGTGATGACTTACACACCAACAAGTGCGTGTGCGAGGAAATCACCATTATCTCCAGCAAGAAACTGCAACAAGATAGCCAAAAGGCTGTGTCGATGTCACGCATCTGATGAAGAGGATTCAGGGAGGTCCTGTGAGAGAAGGGAGAGAGAAATATGTTCCTGAGGTCTCAGCCCTGGATCAGGAGACCACCAAAGAAATGCCGAAGCTTCTGGACTTCGGCAGTCTCTCCAACCTGAAGGTCTTCATTTAAAAACACCGCATGGAGCTGTTTGAGTCCGTTCTGTCATATTTTCTGAAAATAACTTTGAGAAAAAGAAAACAGAAGCAGTTACTAAAAGAAATTTTAGTTCTACAACTAAATAATGGGTGTCGGTGGGCAAAACCACACAGATGCGCATCACAGTATTTTTGTGAACTGAGTTCATTTCTCTTTCTGTAGCATGTCTGGGGGGGGATTGATTATGGACATATGCCACCATGCCAGGTGTACGTGACACTGGAAGTGTAGCATACAATACTCTCCCAGCTCATCTGTATACACAGCCCTTTGTGCTGTGCTGTGTAAAATTTGTATTTATTGTGACTTCAGATAACACAGATTTATTTTAGAAAGTGTGTGTGTGTGTGTGTGTGGTTTGTTTCCTATGGATGAAGTAGTAAAGAACATTGTTTTTCTTTTTTCTTGTGGTACTGGAATTTGAACTCTGTGCTGTGTATATTCAGGGCAAGTGTCCCTGAGCTCTGTCCTCAGGCCTTGTTTTTTTAAAGACAGGGTCTACTCTTTAGCCCAGGCTGGCCTTGAACTCACTGTATAATTGATTACAAACCTAGGATCCTTCTGCCACTACTTCTTAAGTGCTGGGATTACAAATCCCACTACATACAGCTATTAAATCACTTTTGAGAATATGAAAAACATATCTTAGTACTACTCGCAGTTTATTCTCATTTTTTCTACTTTTTTAAATTTATTTTTTGATTAAACACGTGAGTGTTTTTGTCTGAATGTATGTCTGTGCACCATGTGTGAGCCAGTGCCTAGGGAGGTCAGACAAGGATGATGGATTCCTTGAAACCGGAGTTACAGATGCCTGTGAGCCACAAGTGGGTGCTGGACTCAAACGTGGGTCCCCTCAGACAGCAGGCAGTGTTCTTAACTGCTGGGCCGTCCCTCTAGCCCCATTCAGTTTCTTTAAAGGACACTTTATAATTTATTTATTTTTATTTTATGTGCATTGGTGTTTTACCTGCATGTGTATCTCTCTGCGGTGTCAGATCTTCTGGGGCTGGAGTTACAGACAGGTGTGAGCTGTCATGTGGGTGCTGGGAATTGAACCCGGGTCCTCTACAAAAGCAGTCAGTGCTCTTAACCACTGAGCCATTTCTCCGGCTCCTTAAAGGGACACTTTAAAGATTTATGTTAAGAGAGTTCCTTGGCCTAGAGAGTTGAATTTTCAAAAAGACATCATCCTCTTGTTAGGATCCTTTCATTTTAAGAACCATAGTGAGTGCTGGAGAGATGGCTCAGTGGTGAGAACACTGCCTGCTCTTCCAGAGGACTGGGATTCAGGTCCCAGCACCTATGTGCATCTAATAATGGTCTGTAACCCCAGTTCCAGAGGACCCAACACTTTCTTCTGGCTTCCCTTGGTACTACACATATGTGGTGCACAGATATACACGCAGGCAAATGTATGTGTGTGTGTGTGTGTGTGTGTGTGTGTGTGTGTGTGTATAATCTATATAATAAAAATAAAATCTTAAAAAAAATGAACCGAAAGAACCTTACAGAACAGTGGTTTAGGTTAATGCCTCAATACTAATGGAAGACTCATGGCTCTTTCAAAATCAAATGTGAGTGTGTAATCTTATTAAAAGTAATTATTTTCTGTTGGATTAATGAATGTGAACCTTGATTAGAGCTTGGTTTTGCATCATGGGACCACTGGCTAGTGAGTGGCGGTAGCGACTTGCCCCAGAAGCGGAAGACTGCCTTGTGTGCTCTCGTTATAATAAGCTGAGTTGCTTTTACTTTTGCAGAGATCTCATAGTCTCTTTCAATGGAATTTCTGCCTTTCAGAGTAGAGTGCATGATCGTGGCCAACGATGCCACTGTCAAAGGAGGTACCTACTACCCAGTGACGGTGAAGAAGCACTTACGGGCCCAAGAGATCGCCCTGCAGAACAGGCTCCCGTGCATCTATCTGGGCAAGTCACAAGTCCGCTCGGAACTGTGTTAGCTGGGAAAATGGGAGATTGTGGCAGGCTATGTGGGGGACGTCATTACTGGGTGTTTTAAAATACTGCTGGCTCCTCCTGCAGTTAGAAAGGAATACAGTGTTTGCTGAAGACTGTGGGCGAAGGTAACTAAGGACTGCCCGTAGTACCACACAGGAAGATTAGCAGCTTGTTGTGTGCTGGCTTTTCACCTGGGTAGCTTATGTTTCTGTTAACTATAATTACTCAAACTATTAAAAAAATAGCTAATATTTATGGATCTCTTGAGAGTCAGGCACTGTATTAAGTCCTTGAATATTACATAATTTGAATAGGTTGTAATTTAAGATACAGTTGATTTCCAAAGAAAGCCAGTCTTCTTTTGAAAGTAAACTACATTTGCATTAAAGGCTATTTTGAACAGAATCTTAAAGCAAAGCAGTTTAGAACTGGCAGCTTCTGGATAGCGGTGTAGCTTGCCAAAACGCTCGCCTACGTTGTTCATTTGTAAACATTGGAACAGGTCGTAATAGAGACATTTTTTTTTCTTTTTCTGGAAAAGTGCATTTGCCTGGTTGACTCAGTGTGAACGTCTTTGCACATAGAAGACAGCAAATGCAGCCAAACTGCCTGCAGGCTCCTGCCGGTCTCTAGGCGGGCAGCTCTACTGAAGAATATTGATGTTGTCTCTCTTTGGAGAGGTCGTCTTTAATGGCAGACAGGATACAGAATATTAAATAATAAAAGACAGTGGTTGTGGGCAATAATAGTAGGTGTAGGATTTATTTCTAATTCTTTCTATCTCTTTTTGAGACATGGTCTATATAACCTTGGCTAGCTTGGAGCCCACAGAGCTCCTTCACCTTCCCGAGTGCTAGGATTATAAAGATGTGCACCGCCACACCTAGCTTTTATTTTTCTTTTTACATTCATAATTTTACGTCCTCATAACTATATGAAATGGCTACTATTGTTCATTTCGTAGCTAAGGAAGTTTGAGGTGTTTAGAATGGCCAGGAAACACGTTTGATCTTATCATCACACCCCTGTGAATAAGGAGCTCTGTTTTCAGACAAAAGTCTCCTGGTGTAGCCCAAGCTGGCTTCACATGCTTGGTCACCCTGAGTGGTGGCCCACACCGTCACCCGTTTTGTTGATTTGTAGTAAATCTTTTTTTTTTTTTTGATTTTTGAGACAGGGTTTCTCTGTAGCCTTTTGGTTCCTGTCCTGTAACTAGCTCTTGTAGACCAGGCCGGTCTCGAACTCACAGAGATCCACCTGCCTCTGCCTCCAAGTGCTGGGATTAAAGGCGTGTGCCACCACCGCCTGGCTTGTAGTAAATCTTAATGCTTAGGAAGCTGAGGCAGGAGGATCACAGCATGAGTTATACAGCCAAACCACTTAAAGAAAATAAAAATAAAAACAAGAGAGCAAGTACAAAAAAGCAATATACAAATTACCCATTAATCCTTTAGTGATTCTTGTATTGGTCTAGGAAGACGCAGCTTCAGTTCTGCTGGCGAATTCATGGTGTATCTGGGGCTTTGGCTGCTCTTAAAGGGAAAGTGTCCTGAGAAGTTTATGTGGAGTTTTATCTAAAGGTTGGAAAGCCTAATGTGTTGGGAAGAAAGCTTCAGTTGTGTTTGGGGGCCTGAGACTCTAGATTCTACACACTGGCGGGGGGTGGGGGTAGCTTTTGTGACTGAGATTAAGGCCTAGTTATCTTAGACCCTAATGGATCTAATTAACAGTGGCCGTTTGCTGAGCTGCGCTCATTTCTCTCCTTTTCCTCATACAGTTGACTCAGGAGGGGCCAACTTACCTCGGCAAGCAGACACCTTTCCAGATCGAGACCACTTTGGCCGCATATTCTATAATCAGGCAGTTATGTCTTCTAAAAATATCACACAGGTAATTTCTCATTAGTCAAATATGGGTTTTGTTCGTCTGTTTAGAAAAAAATCTCCAAATGTCATTTCTATCATGAAATCCAGATGAATTAAAAATAAAGCAGAATTTAGTAAGGCGACATGGCTCAGAGAAGTAAAGACTCCTGCCACCAAGCCTGTGACTTGAGTCCCAGCTCTGGGATCTGCAGGTGGAAGGGAGAACAGACTCTCTCTCGAGGGTTCATCTCTGACCTCCACATGCACAGAGTGGAACCTTACCCCCTGCCGCACACAAAATAAATGAATAGACATAATAAAAACCAGAATTGAATATCTAATGTAAGAAAGTCTTGTAACCTGTCTTCAGTGTGAACTTTTACTAATGGCAGGCATGTTCCTGGATTATAATGCATGTTCATTGCCGAAGGAAAACCAGTTTGAAAAGAAAATCTTTGAAGGACTAATCTATTAGTGCAGAGGAAGCTATAGCGTACGGGTAAAGAGCTACCCAGAGATAAGTTTATACTGAACTTGACTGTTAGAGCGAAGGATAGTTAACTGATGGATATCACTAGAAGATTCGTAATGGTGTTCGGCTGTTCAAATCGACGAACTAGAATGTATGTGTCAATGAATAAACCCCAAAGCTGTGTTGAGAATAAGCTGTTAGGCAAATGTAGAGCCAGTGTGCGTGCGTGTGACAGTTGTGTCGTGCTTGTGTGTAAGCGTGCATGGAACGGCACACTTAGCTGTGAACAGTATGGCGCTGAGGAAGGAAGGAGGAAGACGCGGTCATTCAAGAGGATCGTGGGGACTTAAGTTGTAAATCTGAAATATTTCATCTCCTTGACATTGTCAGAGGGTGTGACTAGAAAGCCATGATAAAGGTCTTGTTAGATGTAACTGCCCTATGGACTGTGAGGTGAGCTGGGTTGCTTCTAGACTCCCTAGATGGGCCTGAAATCAGCGGTAAGTGTCCTGTAGAGACAGAAAGACAGAGGCAGCCAGAGACGGCAGCCAGCCAACAACTGCTCATGATATCCTCTGACTTCAGCCACACAGCCATCTTAGGGGTGGCCAGAGATCGGGGGGGTCTCATTCCTGGCCCCACTCCCCGCTAAGCTTTCTCACCCCAGAGGCCTCTCACTGTGTAGCTCCTTTTGTGTCACCTCTTGTTTCTTTCCCGAAATTCTTTAAATACACACTGAATTCCCTTGTTCCTCCTCCTTTTTTCTGTCCTCCCGATCCCACCAAGAACCTGTCCTCAGTAACTGAATAAAGTTTTTTTTTTGTTTTTTAAAGATTTATTTATTTACTATGTATACAGCTTTCTGCCTCCATGTATGCCCGCACCCCAGAGGAGGGCGCCAGATCTCATTACAGATGGTTGTGAGCCACCATGTGGTTGCTGGGAATTGAACCCAGGTCTTCTGGAAGAGCGGCCAGTGCTCTTAACCACTGAGCCATCTCTCCAGCCCCTTGAATAAAGTTTCAAGTCATTGCTTGTCCTTGGTGTGGGCCCTTGCCCTCCATATCTCTGTCTCCAAGCCTCAAGGTTCTGCTTTCTCTGTAGGTTTACTGCTAATGCCTCGGTGTGAAATAGAAATGTGTGTGTGGTTTCTGCCCTTGTTCCGGGTTAGGAAAAGCTTGGGTTCCCATGTTTGGTCTCTATCCTGTTCCTAAGACAGAACTCCTAAGATCCTGGTAGATAAGGATGCCAAGAACATCTTTTATTTTAACGTTTGGTCTTTGATTCCTGGTGCAAAGATGCTAAATCCTTTCGACTTTCCTGGGCAATTGGAACATCCTTTCTTCTAATAAGGCGACTCCTGATAGAGGTTGGCAACCAGAAAGACCAAGCCATGATGAGAAGCTTGGCGCCTTCAGCACCACCTGCCCCTGACCTTCTGGAGGAGAGGGGCTGGGAATAAAAACGATCCCTCATGCTTGCGTGATGAACTCGCCATACAAATCCCTCCTGCAAAGCCCTAGGGGGCTTTCAAGAGTCCTGGGAGGGCGGCAGATCCTAGCTCCATAGAGACGGAGGCTCCTGCACTCAGAGCTCTCCCAAGCCCTGTCTGTGTACCATCCCTAATTGTTTTCTGTGGCCTTTATTAATTACCCAGCAGGTAGAAGGGAAGCATTTGTTTGAGTTCTGTGGACCATTCTAGCATATTAAATGCAAGGAGAGGGGGGGTGGTGAGAGCTCCAGGTTATGGCTGGGCAGCCTGAAGCTGGTACTTGTGCCTGTGTTTGGCATTTGAAGTGGGGGCAGTCTGGCAGGGCCTGATGCTCTCTCCAGATAGTGTCACATTAACTGATTTTATTTTCTCTCCCCGTCTCTTTCCATCCCACCTTTCCCAGTAGTAAGGAGCAAACCCACATCCTCAGGCCGTAACACTGAACCACATCCCCTGCCCCTTTCTTATACTTTGTCATTTAAAATTAGAGTGATTAAAAGCATCTTTAATCATGTATTATATAAGTCAGCCATCTGCAATGCTATGCCTTGGCTATGGCTTGTCCCCTGAAGGATTTTTCTGGAAGCCTAGTCTTAGAAGTGACAGTGCTGGAGTGGTAGCCCTTTAAGAGGTGGGTCTAGTGAAGGTGGGTCGGCCGTGGAGCGCTGCCCCCAAAAGGGTCGATTCCTTCAAGAAGGAGTTTTATATTTTATATTAGTAAAGTACGAGTGTGGATCTCTCTGGTCTCTTGTGTCCTAGCTTGTCATATGACCTTTCTTCCTGTCACATGTTTCTGCCGTGATCCACATGACATACTGTGCTGCAGTTAGACAATCCTCACCAGGTGCTGGAGAGATGGCTCAGAAGTTAAGAGCTCTGACTGCTTTTCCAGAGGACCTGGGTTCAGTTCCCAGCACCCACATGGCAGCTCACAACTGTCTGTAACTCCAGTTCCAGGGGATCCAACACCCTTACACAAACATGCATACAGGCAAAAGACCAATGCACATAAAATAAATAAAGATTGTAAAAGGGGGTGCCTGATCTTTCACTCTCTGAAACTTTGACTCAAATAAACCATTTTTTTTTTTCTGTGTAAAATTTCCAATCTCGGGTATTGTGTTTGAACAGCACAGAACAGACTAAGATATAACTTTGGCTATGTTGTTTATGCATTTTGACATAACATTTGACCCCATTCCTATTTTCTACCTCAAGATTGTATTTTACTTAATGTCATTAACCTTGCCCATTGTAGATCTATTTATCCACTTAGCTCTAAGAATGTATCTCTTACAATCTTATCTTTGTAATTTCCTGTATATTTTCAGAAGTAAAAGTGATGTTGACAGATATCTAGACCTTTCATTTGAATTTTGTTTCAGAAGAAAAGAGACTTTTTTAGGTCAAAATATTTATCTTTTTCATTCTTTGACCTTCCACGGCTATTCTTAACTCTTCTAGGTAGGTCCTGGCTGATTTCTTATACTTTATTGTTGGTTCTTTGTGATTAGAGGACTATTAGTTGAATTTTTATATCTTCACACATTTCCCTGAGATGAGACATATTAATATTTAGTAAAAGGTGGTCTCCTGTAACTGTTAAGGCAAATGCCCACACATTGACAGGGTGCAGTAGGCCCTCACCTTCATAGCCTCTTGCATCCTTATCGCATGGTGGGCCGGGGAACCCCTCATCTGCTGTCTTTAAAGACCTCAGAGATCAGGGTCCAACCTTTCTGAGCTCCTGTCTGAGGTCTCCTTGTAGCCTTGTACACACTCAGGCTGGCCCGTGCAGTCTGCTTTCTTGTTCTCATGTATGGGGTTCATAATCTTAACCCTCATTCTTTTGCTACCTTTTGTTGCAGCTTGTTCTCTGGCATAGGAAGCCTCTCCTTTTACCTGAGCCTCAGCAGCCAGCAAGGTGTTTCTGCTTTGACTAGAAGCTAGTCTCTGTTGAAATAGGCTTTATTTACTAGCTGTGTGAAAGTGCATTTTCTCGGCTGTCCCATCCCCCGCCCCCATTTGCTCTAAATTTCGAAGATGTTTAGATGATTACCAATGGTCCCTCTTATCGTACCTTCACCTTCTGTTCTCCTTGACTTAGCTCAGTATTTTTTTTAAGTTTTTATTGAGCTATATATTTTTATGTGCCCCTCTCCATTCCTTCCCCCTCTCCTTCTGCTCTCTCCCATGATCCCCACACTCCCAATTTACTCGGGAAATCTTGTCTTTTTCTACTTTCCATGTAGATTAGATCCATGTATATCTCTCTTAGGGTCCTCTTTGTTGTCTTTGGGATTGTGAATCATTATTTTTGAAGTTGACCTCATTGACTGCCTTTGTTTCAAGCATCTATGATCATCTTGAGTGGGTTAAACGAGCTGATGTCATTGTTTTTAAAATGGATTTCAATAAAGATGAATAGAAGCTGGGAGAGATGAAGGCAATGTATCTGGTGACATTAGGCTCTCTGGTGAGCAGATCGAGGAGGAGGCATTCTGGCTAAGATGGACTTCCTGAATTCTGTCTGCCCTTCAACCCTGTTGGTGCAGGTGAGCCCGAGTACCTCAGAGTTAACAGTGTTGATCCAGCAACGTGGGTGACAGTGATCTAAACTTCTGGCCAGCCATTCAGCTGGAATGCACCTTGTCACTTTTATTTCTAATGGAGGTTCTCCACATAAAGACAGGACCAATATGATAAAGACAATGTCTGCTTTTCACAATTACTTTGAAAAAGGAAGCAAGATGCAAGGCTGGAAAGGAAACACATTTTGAGTGGTTTTTCTATCCAGCCCTAGGACTCTTCCCTTCTCTGTTGCATTTATCCTGGTCTCTGTTGCATTATCCTGGTCTCTGTTGCATTTATCTTGGTCTCTGTTGCATTATCCTGGTCTCTGTTGCATTATCCTGGTCTCTGTTGCATTTATTCCAGTATCTATTGCATTTATCTTAGAATGTGTTGAAGTGGAAAATGGTCTCCAGCTCTGCGGGGTGTGTGTGTGTGTGTGTGTGTGTGTGTGTGTGTGTGTGTAGGTGTGGGTGGGCGTGGGGGACAG